CCGGCCCCGGCCCGGGCCCCCCAGTGCAGGCCAGCCCCCCCGGGACGCGGCCCTGTGGTGACCTCGCCAGGAAACCCGCCGCTGGGGCCAGGCCTGTCCGCACAACCGGGGCCCGGCCGCAGTCCGGTAGCGGCACCCCCTAGCACCGGCTCCCCCTCCCCGTCTACTCCCACCCGAGGTGCCCAGGCCCCCGGCGCAGGCTGCGCGCAAGGGCCAAGCGCCTTCGGCCCGGGCTTGGTGCTGGTCTGTGCAGCCAGGGGCTCACGGCCCCTCCGCCGCGCTCTGGCCCCTTCTTGGTCCCTCCTGGTGGCTTCTGCCAGGCCCGGCTTCCCGCGCTGGTGCACCCATGGCAGGGCGCGCCCTGGCAGAGGCAGGAGCAGGGCCCGGTCGTGGAGGGGGTGATCACGTCCCCAGGGAAGGGATGGGTGCTGCCAGCACACGGGCACCGTGGAGCCAGGCGCAGCTGCCCCGTGCGAGCCGGCACTGGCCGCAGCCCGACGCCAGAGGCCCGGAGACACCAGCACTTGCACAGAAGTGTTTATTGAGGCACTACAAGCTCCACGCGACATCAGAGCCCGGCTGGGCATGGGGGGAGGGGGTGCACGTGGGTGCAGGGGCAGCAGTGGCTCTTGGGCAGGGAGTTGGTGGCACAAGCGTGGTCAGGCAGGGCCCCCTCCCGCAGGGCAGGGGCAGGGCTCCGCGCTCTGGCCCGTGGACCCCAGCAAAGACAGCCCTGTGTAGCGCAGGGGGCCCACACAGCCCAGCTGCTGGCCGTGAGGAGCGGCCCAGCCCCACGCAGGGCCTGCAGCAGCTACGGGGATGGAGGTGGGGGGGTCCCTGGCAGCAGCAGCCTTGTTACCCCCAGGCCAGGGCTGGCATGAGGTGGGGGTCGCGGAGGGGCAGAGAGAAGCATGCGGGGCGGGGCGGGGCGGGGCGGGGCAGGGCCCCTCACACGTGGGAGAAGGCATGGCTCTTGCACAGGGGCTTGTCCTTCTTGGAGTAGAAGGTCTTCCCCTCCAGGTTGGTCTGGCAGATCTGTGCAGGTAGGACAGCACGGTCAGGAGGGGGGTGCCTGGCCCACCGCCACTCCCGTGGTCCTGCTGGCTCCAGGCCAGGCCGGCCCTGCTCCCCCACCCTGCCCCACGGCCACCCCAAGCTGGGCACCACTGGGCGAAGCTGCTGCCTGGAGCCACCAGGCCCCCGCGCCACCACGGGCGAGGCCGGGGCGGGCGCTCACCGCACAGACGAAGCAGGTGTCATGCCAGCTGAAGCCCAGCGCCTCCAGGAACCGGTCACCGGCGTCGATCTTGAAGTCGCAGCCACGGCATTTGGTGCCAAACATCTTCTCATAATCTGGGGGGACAGCGCAGCATGGGGCGCGGCCGAGCTGCCGGGGCAGGCTCCTCAAGCTGCTTCTGGGCACGACTGCAGCCGGGCCTGGCTGCAACCAGGACCCACGCCTGGGCGCTTCACTCCTGACCCGCAGCCCTGCTGGGGCGCGTCACCCCCAGGCGCGGCCCAGCCCTGGTCCTCCCTGCGCTGGGGCAGTCGGTCCCGGTGCCCAACCCCCCCCATTCCTGGCAGCCGCGCTGTCAGGCCTCTGCTCTGCCACTTTCCCAGGATGCTTTGCAGCCCTTGGCTTTGATCTAGGTACTTACACCATCACCATGGCAACCTGCTGGTGCTGGTACTGCCCAGGCCCCTCCTCCCCGTCCCTCAGCAGCAGGGACCGGGACCGGGACCGGGACCGGGACCGGGACGCGGACGGCCACATCCCAGCTGCACGGGGAACCCCACGATGCTCAGGCTGCGGTGGTTCCTCCGAGGCTGCCCCCCCAGCAGGCGGCATGGGGGGGATGGCACATTGCTCGGCATAGGGCTGCCCCCCGTGCCCGTGCGTACCTCTCTCGCAGTAGGGCTGCCCCTCCTCCATGTAGAAGGCGCGGTTGCGGATGGGCGTCTTGCAGGCGGCGCAGGTGAAGCACTGCACGTGCCAGGTCATCTTCAGGGCATGCATGATCTCCTGGGGGACAGGGGGTCAGCCACACGCCCTGCCCCCTGGGGAGCGGCAGGGCCAGGCCCCCCCAGGCAGAGCTAGAGGCTCCAGCTGACCCCATAGCACGGAGCAGGGGTCTAGGGGGGAGCTGCAGCCTGGGGCCACCAGGAGCAGCGGGGCAGATCCGGGCTGGGGAGGGCTACAGGGCCGCATGCAAGACGGGGGCAGTGCCCGGGGCAGGGTGGACTGGGGTTGGGGGGCAGTGGGGCCATGCAGATCGGGACGGGGACCGGGGGGCTGCGGGGCGGCACCCGGCTGAGACCACTCACCCCTGTGATCTTCTTCTTGCACTTGGCGCAGGGTGGGGCGTAGCGCAGGTCGTAGCAGGGCGGGCACAGCACCGAGCCCTTCTCCTCGAAGAAGCCGCCCTCGTCCAGCGCGCGCCGGCACTGGCAGCACGTGAACTCCTCGGGGTGGTAGTAGTGGCCCAGCGCCACCAGGTAGCGGCCCCTGCGGGGGGGAGGCAGGTGAGCCGGGCAGGGGCCGGGCCGGACCGGACCCCTGCCTCAGCCCCGGCCGCGCACTCACCTGATGACCTTGTTGCAGTGGTAGCAGATGGGGGTGCGGCCAGCGGGCTCGGGGGGCTGCTGCGCGGCCTGCACGATGGAGCTGCGGCTCTGTGCGGGCGTGGGCATGGCCGGCTGCCGGTGCTTGCTCAGCACCGTGCTGGTCTTGTCCGGGGCGTAGCGCTCCGCGAAGGCTGCGTCCATGGCCCAAGGTGGGCGGCTGGCGGGGCTGGGGGCGGCCGCGGGTCCTGGGACAGCGCACGGCAGCGTCTCCCGGGGCTGTGGGCCCCGCGACCCCCCAGGGCCTCCGCCTCGCGCTCCCCACTCACCCGGTCCAGCCTCCGCCTTTGGCGCTGCCCCCGCAGGCGGGTCCGGCACGGGGACCTGGCTACAGAGCAACCCGTTAATCCAGCCTGCATCTGGCCTCCCTGGCCACACAGCCCCAGGGACCCCAGCCTGCCCGAACCGGCCCCCCCCCGTGGGGCAGTGCCCCTGGTGGCTGGTCTGGTGCATCGTGACGGTGCCAGTACTGTGCGAGAGACCCCGTGTCCTTGCGTCGCGGTGCCGGGTCCACACGTACATCCCAGACCCCCCCACCGGCAAAGACCCGTCATGCATGGCCTGCCCGCACTCGAGCCTGGATGCCCCGCAGGCGAGGCCTGCTCCCCTCCCAGCACACGCAGGCCCAGCAGCGGCCCAGGGCCCTGCCCCGATGCCAGCGCCCCGGCTGCCCGGGGTAAAGCACCCAGCTTGGGCAGACAGCGGCTGCTGCAAGGAGGCCGTGGGCAAGGGGAGGACAAACACGCACCCACAGGCTGGGCTGGGGGAGCCACCGGGCAGCAGGGCCTGAGCCCCGGGCTGGGGAGTGTGGAGTGTGGCTTGGGGGCTGGACGAGTCCTGGTGCCTGCCCTGGCTGGCACCCAGGGGACGCTCCAGACCCAGCCCGAGTGGGGGGCAGACCCCCAGGATGGCAGAGGCAGTGGGAGCAGGGCCCCTCCCTGGGCAGAGGCGGCACAGGGGTTGCACGACCTCCACTAGAGCCCAGGGACATGGCGAGGCCCCACGAGGGCAGCGGGCGAGGGGCCGCACACAGCAGTGATGAGGCGGAGGCAGCGATAAGGACGGGAACATTTATTGGACTACGAAACACTGGTGCAGCTGGGCCAGGCTGCCCTGGGCCACGTGGGGCCTGCCAGCCAGGGCCCCCACATCGTGGCCCCTCTGGCTGGCTGGGGGCATCAGCACAAAGGGACTGGGGGCAAGGCCCCGGGGCTATGCCAGCCGCCGGCCCACGGTGTGGCAGGTGCTGGGGGTCACAGGGCTCTGCCCTCCACGCCGTGGCCACAGGTTGGCCAGGGAGAGCAGAACAGTGGGCCCGGGGGCCGCCTTCCCCTCCGGCAGCCGCGGGCACCAGCCCTGGGGCTGGCTCAAGGCCATGCCGGGCCGAGCTCCCACCCCCTCCGCACAGCGCCTGAGCAGTGACCGTGCGCCAAGCGTCCCCGCAGGGCAAGAGGCCGGGGCGGTGATGCTGGTGCAGCTGTGGGCAGGGCCGGGCCACGGGCACTGTGGCCCTCACGACTATACGTGGAGGGAGGTGGCCGAGCGCTGGTGGTGCCAGTCGCGCAGGCGGGTGTAGCGTGGGCTCTGCAGCTCCGTGAAAAACTTTTCTCTGAAAGGAAGGAAGAAAGGACAGACGGGGAGGGACAGACGGACAGGGACAGAGCAGGGCGGAGGAGAGGTCAGAGCGAGAGGAGAATGAGGCAGAGACAGCTGGCAGCAGGGTCAGGCGCGGCCGGAGCAGGAGTCAGCTCCGTGCCCACGGGGGTGGCCAGGACCGGCTCCCCCAGGCTCACGCCACAGCCCGGGGCTCCTCAGCCCACCCTTACCTGGACTTTCTAGCAAGCTCGTCATCGGGGTCTTGCACTGAGCAGCGAGAGGAGGAGAAAGAGAACAGCAGACTCAGAGGCAGAAGGTGCCTGAGCCCCCGGCCGGGGGCACGGGATGGACCCCATGGGAACCACCATCCCGCGGCGCTGGGGGGCCACGGCACAGGTGGGGAGGGCAGAGCCCTCTGGGCCGGCCGAAGGCGGGAGCCGGAGGCACTTACTGAACTCTGTGCCCGTGAGCTGGGCCAGGATGCGGAAGGAGCGGGACTGGGTGGTGCCAGTGCGGGGCCGCCAGTCCTCCGTGTCCTCAATCAGCCGCTTCTTGCTGGAGTCGCTGTGGGGGACGCCCGGGGGGCTCTCCAGCCGCAGCGAGTGCCTGGGCAGACAGGGCAGGGTGCTCAGCCCCTGCCCGCAACACCCCAGTGCTCCTACAAGAGCACCTGGCCCAAAGCCAAGGCACCAGCTCCCCACCACCCTGAGCACAACCCCCTGCCCCGGAGGGACCCCGGCAGCCCCATGCCCGGCAAGCGGCGGCACAGCCCTGCCTTACTTGTCCTCCAGGTAGGACTGGCCCAGGGTGCTCAGGGGGTCTTCATGGGCCTGAGCTCGCACCTCCGGGGGCCGGGCACTGACCCTGCAGGGCCAGGAAGTCGGACAGACAGGCAGAAAGAGAGAGAGGGAAGCATGGCAGAAGAACGAGAGCAGGAGCCTCACGGAGAGGAGAGGAGAGGAGGTCCCAGACCCTGGAAACCCCACCGACTACCCCAGAGACACCTCCCAGCTGCTCCTGTCCCCACCAGGCACGGGCATGGCGGCCTCAAGGAGCTGCGCTCTGCCCAGGCCAGGCCAGGCCCAGCCCTGCGGCCCCAGCGGGGCAGAGCCCAGGCCACTGCAGCACAGACGCCTGCTCCAGGCCTGGGCGACCACCACACATGGACCCCCTTGACGGCGGCGGCAGCAGCAGGGCCCCTGAGCACACCACACCGCTCCCCAGGGCCAAGGCCAGCTCCTACCCCCGCGAGGGGCCAGTCAGGGCCCAGATAAGCACGGTCCCCGGACAGAGGCAGTGCTGGGCAGGCAGAGCCCGCGGGCCAGCTCCCCCCAAGCCACGGGCTCCGCTCAGCAGGGCCGGGCTCCAGGGCAGGTCCCCAACAGAGCATAGGGCAGCGAAGGGCATGCAGGAGAGAGCAGGCAGAGGCTTACTGACTTGTCAGGGCTGTGCACCTGCAGCAGACGGGAGGAGAGAGGAGAGAAGACAGAGGAGAGGTTAGCCCGGACCGCAGGGAGTATCGCAGCAAAGCCCAGAAACGCGCTGCCCCACAGAGGCCGCCTGGCACCAGCACCATCCAGGAGGGGCACAGCCCCTTACTGCTCCACACAGCCCAGTGGGCCAGGGCCAGGCCCTGCCAGAGCCAAGCGCTGCATGGAGCCCGGCTCAGCCATCCCCACGCTCCTCACTGCATGCACGCTGGCTGCGGATGGCTACAGAGCCGAACCCCTCACTGCACACGGTCGCACAACCCTGCCCTGCTCCAGGGCCGCAGGACCCTCTCGGCGTGAGCGGACAACGGCGCAAGCCACGTGATCAGAGACCCAGCCCCAGCCGCCCTCCTCCGGCAGTGAGGTCTACACCCGGCTCGGACGCAGCAAAACCCCACTGTAGGCCCAGCGAGGAAGGCGGGAGTCCCGGGCAGGCCCCAGAGAAGTCGCCAGCAGCCGCCCAAGCCGTGGCCCCAGACGCACTCCCCAGGCACAGATGCACGGCACCCCCCACCAGAGGGTACCGCGCAGGGCCGGCAGCAGGCAGTGCACACGCGGACAGCACCCTGGGGCTCCCCGGCCCGGCGGGGGGGAGCTCAGACCATGGGCGCAGAATTGGGGGGCAGCAGCATCTCCTGCAGTGCAACACCAGCACCAGCCACCAGGGGGCACTGGACACCGCAGGCGTGGTGGGGTGGGGTGGGGGGCACGCATAGGCACGGGTCCAGCATGCAAGGGCAAGCCCAGGCCGGGCCAGGGCGCCTGGGGGCAGCGTGATGGACAGCAACGTACCCATTGTGCTGCGGGGCACTGGCAGGCGCCTGGGGCGTGTACGTCACGGGTTTCGTCACTGGGGTGGCGCCGGCCCCGAAGGGCCGCGCAGTTTTGTTGAGGGCGGAGCTGGGCGCAAAGCTGTATTTCAGGGGCTCAGAGTGGGGGGGGGCGTCCTGAGCAGGAGACAAAACATGACAGCGGCTGGCGACGCGGGCAGCAAGCGTGGGCGCAGGTGTGGGGCACTGGCTTGGGCACAAGGCCACACAGGACGTGCCCAGCCCCAAGTGGCTCTGCAAGGCGATGCCCCCACCTTGGGGTCAGACCCTGCATGGGGGGGGCAGGGGGGGCCTGGGAGCTGCACAAGCGCGACACGCCAGCACTAGGAAGCCAGGAGCAGCCATGCAGGGCAGTGCAGCCTGTCCCTGCCCGCAGGACGAAGCCAAGCTCACCCGGCGCTCGCAGGCAGCAAGCAGCTGTGGCAGCCGGGGGTGCCCAGGCCTTGCCCCACCAGCCCCCTGAGTGCAGCCATGAGAAACTGCTTGCTGTGGCTGGTCCTGCCAGCCAGGTCTCCTGGTGCCCCTAGCCCGCCCAACAGCCCCCCGCAGCCCCGGCGCCACGTACCTTCTGTGGCTTCCCCACGAGGTTCTGGGCTCTGCAAGAGAAGAGACGGAGCCCAGGTGAGCAACAGCTGCAGGCTCGTGCAGCCTCAGCACCACGGCGCCCAGCGGGCAACACAGGGGCTCTACCCCATGCCCTGCACACAGGCGGCCTTGCTCTGCGAAGCCGCCAGCTGGACCCAGGATCCTGCTCGAGCCCCATCCAGGTGGGACGCCCCAGGCCTGGGCAGTGCCCTGGGCATACAGCTGTGCTGGGTGGTGGGGGCCCAGCTTACGGGGCTGTGGCAAGGGGGCCTCCGCAGCCTCCCACTGACCAGCTGGCTGCTACTGGCAGCACACACGCACACGCCTGCAACGTCCCACAGGCACGCTCCTGCC